AAATCAGAAAGAAAAAAAAAACAGAGTTTGCAGAAGAATATCACACATTCTCATTTTTCTTTAAAAATGTAAATCTATTCTTCTTCTTCTTGCCATAACAAAAAAACTCCTACCATAATAGAGACAAAATAAAATTTGAGATATTTATGTCACCTAAAAGAGGAATGTAATATTACAAATCAGGATTTCTAGGAATGTTATATCACCTATTCGTATCGAAAAATAGATGGGATGGCAATCCGTGCAGATCAAATTTAATTTTTGATATTTCGCGGCTTACACTTCTTGAAAATCTTTTCTTTTTTTTCTTTTATCGATACAATAACCTTTACAATTTAATTTTTGACGTTTCGCAGCTTTGGTGTGTCTTTTTGAGTTTTGTTCGACAACTGAAGCAACGAATCTGGGTTGCTTGCCCTTCTTTCTACTCATCAGCTAATAAAACATGACCCCCCTTTTTGCTGCTCTTTGAGTCTATCCATTCTGAAAACATCAACATCAATCATTTTCAAGATGCCATTACCATGCTGGGATAATTTGATCTTTCAAGACCCAAACATGATCTACTGCATGTGTTGTTCAATGTTCATGACAATGCAGGAGCCTGACAATAATTTGGACATTATATTTCCCAGGTTTCTATTTGTGTTGCCTGAAAGCCTCGCCAGTTACCACATATGCCACACTGATTGTTCTTCTGAAACGAAACATTATGAACACTCGCAATTTTCCAGAGACTGCAAAATTTTGTGAAAGGCGGCGAAAAACCGCTCGTACAACCTGCTAGATAATGTTAATTTGTAAAGAACTTCTAAATGCATTAGCATTGCTGCAGATGTAAATAACAGCGTCTTGTACAACATAGAGCTCTCGAATTTTACATTAGGACATGATACCATCCCAAGAACAAAAATGAAAAAATTTCGACTACCTATTGAGAGCTTGACTAGCTTTAACGTCACGTTCTACGCAGACGGACGACACTGAAGAACTACAAAACCTTTCCATATGATTTGGCGATATGAAGATCAGCATGTGCTTTACACACAGCGAAGTAAAACTTGAGCAACAACACTGAAACATATTCACCAGGTTGTTAGCTCCGGATTATCAATATCCAGACACACCTGGATCATACCAAAAATTCAGTCTGTCGCCACAGAAATAATTAGTAGGCATAGGTTATCAGCACATTTCATATTTCTTCCATATGGACTCACAGTTTACTCGTCATCATCTGAACTTGGATTATCAAAAGCATGCTGCCTGCGCCATCTCCACCAACCCCTTTGGACCTCTCTCCTGGCAAATCAGCATTCTCAGCAAGCTCATACTTAAGAAACTTGATCGTTTTCCTTCCCAGCCCTTTTTCTCTGTTTCCTCTTTTTTACCTTCATTTTCAGTCATCTCCATCACGTGTGCAGCTGCTATAAATGCTGCGCTCATTGGTTCATCTATGTCTTTACCCTCTCTCATCTCCATCTCCATCTCCATCTCCATCCACATCTTTCTCTTCCCCTTTATTATCAATGTAAAAGAACATCATCTTCCTGTTTCCTATCCTCCAACTCAAGACCGGTTTCTCATTTGCAACAGAAACATCAAAGACCAATTAGCCACTGACACTTCAACAAGCTATCATCAAAGAAACCTCAATCCTCGATCCTCAAGTTCAATAACCACTCTGGACCCGGAAAAAAAAAAAACAAATTTAAGGGCTCACACACAAGTGGCACTTCATGATACACCGAAAGAACATTTGATGGAAACACAACCATGTCAGAATTTTAGAGCTACTTACTTATGAGTGCTCTAGGTGATGACCCTGTACTGATCCACTTGCCTTAATTTCCACAATTGCTCTCCCTGCATCAGTTTCATTATTTGTGAAGGCAGAGCAGAACTAGAAGGCATTTATGTAAGAGATGGCAAGAGTTTGAATCCTTATGCTCCCTACAACATATCAAAACATGAGATGCCAAGAGGCTATTGCACCAAAATTCAAGGAGACACCATCAAAATATGGGTACCTGAAAAACTCTATGGCTTTGTAAGCAACGATCAGTCTTGTCATCAAAGATTCTTAACATGTTCAGTGGGCAAATCAGCTACTCTCTCATGACCGAGGAAGAAGTACTCCACCAGTATAGTCGCATCATATGGGACTTTCCTAAGTAAAAACGGGATCCTCTGACCCCTGGCCAAATGAGAACTGAAATCAGAAAGAGAATTTCTCAAGGAAAGAAAATATGGCTAGACTGCAGCTGGCTTCACATTATAGATATCACCTCAACACTAGACTTGGAATATCCTTATAAATGACCTCAATTTTTGAAGCTATAACAAAATATAATTATTCCTTCACGGTCGCTCACTATATACACACAGCATTATCAGCAAGTAAAGAAGCATGTGTCTCTAGCCAAAAATGACTTTCCGGCTTAGATCCAATAGACATCTTTGCATACTGATAATAAAATCGAATGAGATTTCTAGTAGAGAAACAATACCCACCAAAAAGGAGGCTACCAGGTAAAGTACTCTGGATAAGCATCCTAACGAGGAATCTCTGGTCAAGAATACAGCACTTGTTAGTTTGCAAGCAAATGATGAGAATTGAAAAGTGAAGGTAAAACTAAATGACAAGAAATGAGATCACTAACAACGAAATAATCCCTCGCACAAAACAAGGCACTGAGTCCTATCAGGTTCAAGGATTGACTTTGTTAGGAGGAGATGCTCACAAATTACATTTCCAATACACATTCTTTGTACTTGGGTAGAACTCAAGTGACCACCAAAACGACGACTCAACACCATGAAACCAGCCAAACAAGCACCTTGACAAATAGCCAGTAAACCCACATCTCAGACACAAACAAAGGCAACACTAACCAGGGAAGTAAGAGTTCAGCCGGTTATCGAAGCAACAGCCCAACTCCTCAACTCCTTCGCTCCAATTCCGACCTCGTAGCTCCTTTGACGCACGGAGTTTCAAACACATCTTCAACAAAAACGCCTCTGTTTGCTACCCCTGCCAAGTAATGAACACAACCTCCCTGTATAAGAGCTCTACTTATGTCATCTGTCAAGAGCAGAAAGAATCTCTCCGAGTTCTCCCCTTGACCCAACCAAACACAGACTAAATCCGCAATACCCGTGCTCGTCTCCGAACCGCCCCCTCGTAAGAACCCTCGCAACTGCAAGTGCTTAAATACCCAACAACCGCATCAACCAAGGATTGGACCTCTCTCACCCCCCTCCTGTCTCTCTTAGACGACAAGTCCCTCGCAAACAACTCGGAAACAATCCCATAGACCTCAAGCACATCACCGGCGCGAGCAGCAATACGCTCTTCCAGATGACTACAAGAAGAAGAAGCACGCCTTGATCAGCAGAAACGAGTCTTTCGCGGCCGCCGCGCGATCCAAAGACGTCGTCTCCTGCGCAACTGCGACCACCCGAGGTCAATGCGGCGTAGACAGATGGACTCGAGATGTGGGTCAGCTCTAGATTGCATCAATTGGTAGAATGCATCGACGAAAGAGGCGGTGTTGGGGTTTCCTGCGGATATCGGCCAAAAAGGTCCTCCATTGCCCGCTTCAGAACGAGATTGAAGCTTTCGCCGACGAAGAAGACCGGGTCTTGACAGTTCGAAGCCTCATTCTTTACTTTCCATGACGGAGGACTGACGATTGACGGAGAATTGCTTCTCCGACGATCAAATGGCAGCTCGAAGAAGGGAGAGAGAACCCTAAACCCTAAATCGGAAGGAGCTTGTCCGTCGTCTTGACAGTCGTGAATCCCCGCATCTGCTAGCCCGAAAAGCGGACCGCCTAACTGTTTTTCGGGCCAGTCCGAGCTATCGGAGGCTCAAACCAATCTGAGTTATTGGACGATTAGTAGGACTTGATTGCAACTTTTTAATTATCACAGAGTGCTAAATTGCACTTTCTCTCCATAACTTTTAAGATTTGTAGCGTGCTATTCGAACTTTTTGGTAGTGTTTAGAGACAAATGTTGGTAGTGATTTCGTGTGGCTAAGGAAGTACCAAGTCGGCTATACTAGAGACGTGCTGTCCCTTCCCGAGGATAAGTCGAGCACCGGGTCGATCTGGAGATCGTCCGGGCGATCAAGGGAAGAGCGAGGGACCCATCGATCTAATTCAAAAAAATCAAACGGGAACTGTCATAGAGACAGATGAATCCCGTACAAAGCATATTTTACGGAGAGACCGACTATAAAGTCAGGAAGTTACAAAGAGCTGTGGAAGTGCAGGAAGATTCACAGGAGAGTGACCTCAATTCACCAAGAATCAAGATCAACATGAAATGCTCTCTAGTCGCGAGCAAATCAGATCACCCATTTCTAAACATCTGAGGGTGACGCCTAGGGGAAGTTTTTAGCTGCCAGGATTTTGCAAATTCATAGTATCGTTGATACACCGGCTTGTAACATGCAGAAAAGAGCGGCGAACAGCAAAACGAGATATCAAGGAACTCCTCGGCATTTCCTCGAAAAGAGATTTGCTTTTCCTGTTTCAGAACATCAGGGCCTTCTTAAAGTAGGATGTAATTGAGAAAAATGACTTGGGACTTTCTCAATCCACGAGGCGTTCAGACCCGGCATGCATCAAAAACACGAACGCAGCTCGACTGACCTTATCTGGCTAAGTGCTGCAGTAGTTCCGAAAATGTTGAAGCACAGTGTCTAGTAACTAATAAGAGGAGCAGAGGCAGACAAAGAAGAGTTGCTCATCAAAAAAGCACTTTCTAAGCTTTAAGATAATGATTTGAAGCTCTCAAGAACTCCTGAATGTCGAGAAGAATAAATTGGTGATACAAACAAAGATGCCAATGTAGGAGTGAAAAATTAAATAAGCCCTCGGCAGGTGCCTCATCTTCAATACATTTGTGAACAGGCGCTGACACACGAACTTATAGCAATTGCAGGTTTGAAGTGCGGAAGAAGAAAAAGGACAGCCATAATCATTACCATATCATCGCATCTTATAGTATTGGATTCTGGAGCCGAGCAGCGTCTACCATTCAGCAAGTATTTGACCTTTATATCAACATCACGAGGATTCTTTCTTGTTTTTGGTGCCACGGTCATGCTCCCGACCAATGCCTCACCTTCACATATAGTCAGCACATCTTCCAAGTACAAGACTGTTTGCTTCCAATGCGTAGCCAGCGATCGAGCCCTGCCCATGGATGCAATGGATAAACAAGAGACTCCACAGAGCCACCTCAACATTTTATTACATCAATCATGCGGCCATTCATCGTGAAGCCACGTGAGTGCGCCCGATGACTTAGTAGAAAATCATAGGTATTAACTATCATATACATTTCCACTCCAAGGTGTTTTATGTAACTCTTTTTTCCCCATTGAATAAACAAAAGGCCTGAATAAAAACGTTCTTTTAAGTCATCTTGAGAAAAGAAGGAAATGCATCAAAGCTTAGAAGTCATTTAATTTAAACAAACCCAATCCCCTAAATCCAGGAAGCTAAAGAGATGCACTAGCCAACCAAGGAAAAAAGTACATACCGGTAGAAAGCCTGTCAACTTATGACATTGGTAAATGACACATCAAGAGTATGCCACCAGAGCATGGATGTAATCGTCGCGTTCTGCCACCAGCTTAAATGGAGCTGTAAAGAAGCATCTCCAGGACCCATCTTTGAAATATCCATTGTCTGGGAAAGGAAAGCAACCAATGTATGAAAAAAATATCTTGTTAACAGTGATGAGAAATGAATCGAGAGAAGAAATCCTACTATCTGATAACTGCTCAAGCCCATTGGGTCTTGGGCTGCAAGGCATCAATACTATAAATTCAATAACGTGCCAGGAATTCTCACCTTCGTAGCTGGCATTGTGTAACAAGTTGATTCTGGTCAACTGTGTCAGCTAAGAGGTTCCATCATGGCTTGCTTCTTGATGCAACTCATGTCAAACCCATACGTTGTTCCAAACTATAATTGCATAATAATGCCAAATCAGAAAAGCTTATAAAAGTAGAGATAGAGTAAGCTGTTGGACGGGAAAAAGACTTTTGCAAATTAAATTAAAAAGGTCCAATATTATTACAGTAATAGCAAGAAGCTAAACTCACATTCAATCTTGTCGTCTTTGTACTCAGCATCCTCTATGGCTGTTAAGAGTAGAGTGAAGCCTTATCAGGCTAGAACGACTCCACCATTGAAGCCTGTGAGGGAAGAAAGATGATGAGTGACAAATTGCGCATAGTCACGAACCCTTGGAAAGAGCTAATACAAACACAACATAGCAACTAAAGGCGAACTACTATAACAAAAGCCTAAGAATAACACAAAAACATGGCAAGTTGGCAACTGGAGGTATTCTGACTAAACAAAGGCATTAAAAAGGAAAATAAAGGCAAAATTCGCAAGGCCCTGCGGAAATTTCAGTAAACGAGAGAATACTAATTTATCATTTAAGACAAGTATGTAACACCATTAGGAAGTCAAGAATGAGCAGTGCATGCAACATTATGAATTTAATATTTTTTTTTTAATCAAAACAGACTTTTGTTCATTTTGGTTTGTTGCTGCACCTTTGAACTAAGAATGGTGAATATATTTTTTGTGAAAGAGCAAGTCACCTCCACTTCACCAACTTAAGCACAAACAGGAAAAAACACCCACGGCGGCAAAACATGCTTAGAAGTTATGAACGACCAACCATGATTTTAGCCTGTTGCATTTCCTCATTAATACAATAGACCTGCAATCTCTCAACAAATAGTTTGGCCAAAGGAAGAAAAGGGAAGTACCAAAATTTGCACAACAAATTTGATTAGGAGAATAACCCCTTGACACCTCATAGTGAATTTCTCATTACTTTAAAAAAAAAAAATAATTAGGGAAAATGCCCGGTTAGATGCTGAACTTGCTGGTATTTGAATCTCCATATTTCGCAGTTCACATGCAGTACTTTTCCAAGCAAAATCATACAACAAAACATACTAAAAATTTCTAGTCTCTGAAGAAACATTTGCATCAAAAAGCAAGACAATAACTTACAAGCCATTTGTCACGAGCACACAGGACAGTATTCAACATGTTCTCAAACAACGAGAAATATCCCATCCATTCGGAAATGATTATGTCAACTTTTGCGACAGGAAGATCAATTTCTTGACTTTCCCCCTTCAAAACCGTTCTCAACTGCAAATAATGAAACAAACATGAATAAAGAAGCAAAATTCAGTTGCAAGATACTACAAGAATCCAAAGATACAAGATCAGACAAATCAAGAGAAATCTTACCATTAGAAAAAGCCATTCGATTCCACAATCTCCTTTATCCGTGTCAGCCATTTGGGAGCCTCAATCTAAAAAAAAGTAAAACAACAACATTCATCAGGAACTTACACAGAGGGGCAACATTGAGATGAAATACAGCAGGGGCAGATTAGGGAAGACAAGGATCGAGAAGAATTTAAACACACCGCGTAAACATATTGCGCCCGGCTTTGGCACAAAATAAGGACAGTATTCCAGTCCCAGCTCCCACATCAAGAACTATCTTTGTTTTAAATAGAAACTTGTTTGGTAAATGACATTTGATATGTCTTCGTTCTTACTATATCCTTAAACATTTCCTGCAATGAAAGTATAGGCACAGTATGGTGTCATGAATATAGTCAAAAAGGACATGTTTAGCTCCTTATTGCTATAGAGATAGATCTTCGATCTACTAAGTCAATTAAACAATGAAAATGTAAAATTTGAGATCCCTTTTAGATGCCAGAAGGAGGCAAACGTTTAGGAATCAAAACAGGACTTCTTGGGTCTTGGCAAGGTTGATTACCACAAGGACAATGTCCTTGTTCCCAAAGTATGACACTTGCCTAGGATGACAATTCGAGGTCATGGTGAAGACCCAAAAGCAGAGCAGAAACATACAGAGGAGTTCAAAAATAGGTTGGTCTTCCCGAACAAAGACAAATATCCCACAGTACCAGACCACATCTCGTGTTTTTCGGAGAACTTTATGACATGCCGCCAAACCTTACGACCTCACTTTCTGACTGAGCAAGCAATCAAGCATCTACCAAAATTATCAAAACCAAGCCGCCCTGTTCGGACTCAGAACAGGCAATACCCAACACAACCATAACATAAAATTACTGCTTCCTACCATTGACATCACAATGCAGCTGTTACTAGAATGTTTTACATGCCCTATTTCTGAAATCTAACTTCCAAAACACTAGTCATTTGGCCAAAAACGCTAGAGCAATAGAATCGATGTAATTGTATAACGTCAAATAAAAACCAAACCACCGGTAGATAGCTTCCCAGTAAGTTAGACGTCATTCACAAAAAGTACTAGCAGCAAAACACATCAAAACCAAATATGGAACTGCTCCGAATTCATATGCAGCCCACTTACTTCATGAATGCCTGCAACAAAAAAAACACAGAAAAAGGAAAAACGTAAGCTTCTGCAACAAATGCTAATCTAATGGAGCAATAAACCAAAGACAGAAGAACGAAAGCAACCCAACTTTTACTCGAGGAAAACGAAACTTCCGTCTCACGGAACCAAAATCAAAACCCCAACAAAGCTCCAAGAACGACACTAACGGGACCAGAACCGTACCGAAATGGGAGTAAGAATCGAAGTAGTAATCGGCGCTGGTCTGATGGTCATCCCCATCATCGGGGAACGAGTCGTGGGCCTCGGAGGCGGAGGCGGAGGCGGAGGCGGAGGCGGAGCGGAGGCGTCGACCGTCATGTCGGCGACGGTGGTGGACTCGTCGGGGTCGCATGACCTCGTCGAGGTTGGAGCTCGCGGTGGCGTCTTCCTGGCCGCCGCCGCCGTCGCCGCCGTCCACCTCGCCCTCCTCGCCGTCGACCTTGAACCGGATCTTGGCTGGGCTGCTGCTGGTGCTGATTCAAGCTCTGGTCGTCGCCGGTGGTGGTGGTGGCGGCGGGGTGGTTCTGGCTCTTGCGACGGCCCATGGCGGAGGAGCGTGTGGAGGAGGGAGGGAAGGGGAAGGGGAGACGACTAGGGATTTAGGGAAGAAGCGAAAAGGAACGTTACGGCTTGCGAAGAGGGTTTATGGTGCTTGCCTTACATGAGCAGGTTCCTTTGTGGATCTAAATACTCATGAAATTATAAATTAAACAGTATATATATATATATGTATATATATATATATACATATATATCATACCGGGGATAAGTGCATTGAAAACCTTTAAACTCGTTGGTAATGTGTAATTGAATCTTAAAACTTATTGCGAAAGTTCAATCAAATACTAAAACTTTTTCAAATTGATTCAATTAAGTCATTAAGCGATTACACTTTTTGAATGTTTTAGGATTCTCGATTGCACATCCGTGATAAGTTTTAGGACTTGATTGCACTTTCGTAACAAGTTTTAAGATTTGATTACGATTTTTGAAAGTTTTGGAATTCAATTGCACTTTTTAGAAGTAATTAGTTTTATGACTTCTAATAAACTTATCATATGCATACATGTTACAAGTTCAAACTTTCTAGAAAAGGCAAGTATGGTTAATATTCCAAAAGTCAGATGATTAAACTAGAATATTAGTCAATAACCGCAAGCAACCCCTCTTTTAAAAAGTTTAGAAGATAGAACGAAAGTACGAAAGTGAAGAGAGTTAAAGATGGGGCCGGATAAAAGAAAATAGAGTATTGAAAAGTTGCCATCATCATTTGTCTAGAAAATATGATTTAGCATTGATATTATATCATAATCCATAACAACATTCTACATTTCTTTTTAAATATCTAAGGGTTGACATTCTATTTTACGTACCAATCCATTAAAGCGATCCCAAGACATTGGATTTGACATCAAAAAATCTTGTCCGTCGAATCAATTTTGAAATGTATCACCAAGTTCCTTTTATATTGGTGAACTTCTGATATTTAAAGTCACGGTGATAAATGCAATTGAGTCTTAAAACTTATCGCAGTGCAACTAGATCTCAAAATTTTCAAAAAGCGCAATCAAGTCCTTCCATTTTACTCCGTCCTAACTTGACACGAACGCTTACAAGTTTTGGATTTGATCCTACCAACTTGAAGTTTTAAAACTTTCATGACAAGTTTTAGGATCAGCTACTTGATTATCCTAAAGTCTCTTACTAACCATTCGGATGTTGAAAACTTACTACAACCAAGGATAGTTACTTAGAAATTTCTAACAAGATGTAATGCAGCAAAATACCTTATAGAATCGCGGATGGCAAATAAAGTACGTGAATCACACTTTTGTGTTCATAAAATAAGTTTCAGTGTTTTAAATTATCATTTGGTTCCCAATTTCTTTTTGCAAATGCAACAATTGTCCTACAGGTCATACGGTAGACAGGACCAAACAATTGAATGGGGCAGAGGCTGGTTCATATCTCGCATAGTTCCAGCAACAAAAGCAAGAGACAGTATCACTGTACTGGCTATTGCAAGCTCTGCAGACTTTAGTAGGGACAAAGAAACGCAACATCCGAGCCGGAGCAGTCATTTTACGTCTACAAGAGAAACAAATCCCTGTCTTAACAACAGAGCAAGCGTGCCTCATAAAGGTCGCTGCGCTAAACAAACAGTATGTCATCCAATTCATCTGCAGGACCATCGTAGCTCGGCATATATCCTCCCTTTATTCCCTTGAACTCGGAAGGCGCAAAGCCATGCCCGAGCACAGAGCGGACTAGCTTTTGAAAGTGTTCTCGCCGTTTCGAGGTGAATGGAGGATTTGCTACAAGGCCATGGTGCTCCTGACATCACGGCTTCAATCTCCCATGTTTGGCGAGGACGTTAGTCATGTTACACCTTGCAACCAGTTGCGGTAACAAGCTATAGAAAAGAAAATGAGAATGTAAGTTTTAAGTCAAAGCAAACGTAGAAAGACTAAAACAGTGCTTGCCAGCTGCTCTGATCTATGATCAGTCACTACATGCTGCACTTAGGATTTAGTCGTCACATTCTAATAGTCTGCTTATCATTCAGCTATTTGGACCCGACTTTTTAACATCGTAGTCATGCGTGAGACTGATCGGAAAGCATATAGAGGAGCAGTAGAAAACCTACAACTGGATTATCGATGGATAAAGGGATAACAGAGAGATGCAGCACGTTTCTATAGTATATCTACGAAGTAGATTAAATTTTCACATTCCAGATGAAGGGGAAGAAACCAATTGAAAAAGATAAACATTTGCCACTAAGAAAATTGGATAGCACAATGATATTCATATCGACTGTCAGCTGACGACTCCAATTGAAAGCAGCACTATGATGTAGAGTGTGTATATCAATAAGTATTTATCCATAGTCAAGGTATATAAAAGAGATTAGAAAATGTAGTACCACATCGCTTTCAATTCTCACTCCACCAAACGTTCTGAATCTTCCAATTACATCATGATTGAAGAACTTTGATTTGTTTGAGCTTTCGATTGCCGGATCCAATAAAGCATCAATAAAGTAGCATCCAGGCTCCACCGTTATCACCTGAATCAAGGTCCCATCGCTGATTATGCATAGATAATATGCTAACTAAACAAATAAAGCAAAACACCTTGTGAATTCAGTGCACTAAGAACAGAGAACATGTACTCTCAAGGTCTCATCGCCCCAATATTGTTCAACCAAATCGTGATGCTAAGACTTACAGCAGAGAGGACTAATACTAACCATTCCTTCCTGGAGTTCTCTGACTGTTCGCAATGAACTCAATCCAGGTTCTTTTGGTCTCTCCAATCCCTGGTGTTCATGGAGATTCTTAGGATCCCAATTGCCGAAGATCAGAACCAGCAAAGAAAATAAACAAGAAATTGACTGTTTTAAGTCTAAAGACCTGCAGGTAGCCGCCGGGATCATGAGTATCAATACCCAGCAGATGTCCCAGCCCATGGGGCATAAAAACTGCTCCCAAACGCTCAACCATCATATGATCCAGATCACTGAAATCAACAAAAAACAGACAAGCATTAGTTCATGGAGACAGGACTTGGGGAAGACAACATATCCTTGAGAAGCAGTTACCCAGATATGATGCTTCCTTCCCTCAATGACTGGAGAATAATCCTCTCTGCCAATCTGCAACCAGATGGAGCAAATGGAATTACATGACAGGTGCAAGCTTGGAGGGTAAGACACATACAGCGTAGGCTAGAATTTCTCAGCAGCAGTAGGTTACTCTAAGAAATTTATTACAATTTAATTAGACTTGTGATACTGCAATCAACCATCAACAATCACCAGCTGTCCCTTCACTTCAGAAGCAACAGCAAACACAGGGGACTGCATCTATGCTAGAATCAACACGATGAGCCTTGACTAAGAACTGTTAAACCTCTAAAGATGAAATTCAATAGCAAGAAAGAGCGGAGGGGAGTTGCTCTTCTCTGGAAATATAGCAAAGTCAAATTCCACAAAGCATAAAAATCTCAAGATAATCATTTAATAAGTTTGCCAAAGCATCCACTGAGAATACATTAAAGTCATAAAGCAACTTTATCACAGTAAACTATATCCAGATATAAAAAGAAAAAATTGCCGTTTAAAATAACTAAATTGCCACTGCCAATTTGTAGTTGGGGAAGTTCCACTCAGTATATATGAACAATGTGATGCTAGAACATAGAAGACTCTTTGTTTAAGCATCCCTGAGCGATAGAAGAAGAATTTTCTTGATAATTACTCAAATTCAAAAGCCATTTAGTAAAACTTTGCAAACTTTTGCCATCCACTCTTACTTGTGCATATCTACCCAGCTAACTCCAGGTTTCATAGCAGCAATCACCACATCATGTGCTTGAAGCACTGCCTGAGAAAACAATGAAAAGATCAAAACTTGATATGATCAGGCTTTAGAGACTGAAATAAACGTTTGATTAGCAAAAGTGGCCCACCATTCTCTCTACCCATACATCCAGACAACCCAGTTTATAGTTTCTACTGCAACTGCAGTTGCCTTTGTTCATAGCTAATTTCTACTGTAACTTCCAGTTGGCTTTGTTCATAGTCGATTTAAGGTAAACAACTTACATTGTATATTAGACTCTGATCACTTGTAAACTTGCCATTTACCTGCACAAATGAAGTTGATTGTAAGAGGGATAATTGTAGATCTGACCCAAAATAAGGCAATCGATCTTGTAAACTCCGCATCCTTCTAAAGCCAAGGAGATCTCTGTCGTCTCTACCAATAATTATCCACAACGACCACCTATTGACCGAAGAGATAGGATATACATTCATAAAACATGACTGAGACATTATGAAGTTTATGAAATGGCCAATAACTGCTTGTTTGAATCATGGAGAGCCTTTTTACTACGCCATCATAATGACATGGATCAGTGTAACAATAGCTTCAGGAATAAGCAGGCCTTAACCATGAAAAAAGGTACTTGACATTTTATTTTATTTTTTTTGCTTTTTACCTTGTCCATGATAAGTCATCAAACTTTCTTTCCCTTCGAATAAAATTGGGTAAATCCATGGCAGAATGTAAATATAAGTTCAAGGAAAACAGAAAACCAGAAATAAACTGCAAAGAATAAATTGCAATCCGATAGAGAGAAATATTAGGAGAATCAAGATCCCCTGTCAACCCGACAAAAGCACGAGAACCAGAAACTCACTGGGAATGAACAGGTAATATCAGATCCATAAAATTGATATTCAGCTCCCATATCAAACAATGCCATATCCCCATCCTCCAAAGTCTGCAAATAAATCCACAATTAGTAGAATTTACCAGCTTTATTTAGCTTCACGAATCTCAT